ACGTGAGCTATCGGTCTGAACTTTTTACTACAGTTTCACCTAAATTTTCAGTTTTTTGTCATTCGGATTAAAGATGGCTGACTTAGAACAGAAAATCTCTAGAGTGAAAGGACGTGCAGATACATAAGTCTTGGTTAGGCCAAGCAATCTAGACTATCAGTTTCTAGCTCAAGTTTTCAAAAGAATTGTACGGGTGGACGGTTATTACTGATTATTCATTGTCAAATTCTAAGCACAAATTTACAAAATTTACTTAAAAGAATGAAATCAAAATTGGCGGCCAAACTGGTAGCTGTACTTATAGCATTGATAAGAATTTTACAGCAAATATTCATTCATTAGTTAGCCAGGCCCGATTTTTGTTCAACTTGCGGCATGATGGTGGGTAAAATAAAATAACAACAAAATTTGGTAAATTTAGATCACAATGTCAACCAAAGTAGGGATTTAAAATCTTTTTAAAATCCATCCAACTACTGTCACTTTACTTGTTTGTGTACTTTTTATTGCAGCATTTATTTTGTTTAGGATACTTCTTATAGCAATTCTACAAATAACCAACGATCCATACGATTCATACTTTCCGTTAACATTTTAATTCTTTTGTCCTAATTCTTTTTTCCGTTTTTATACGTCCATGGAATGGACACAACATCTATAAACTTTCGGTATAGCCATATCCCTGATAGCTATAACTTTTACAAGAATTAAAACCACAATCACAAATATATAAAATTTAATCCCTACTTTGACAGCTTTATACACTTATCTGTAGGTCAAAGTAAGGATTGCATTTTTAAATTTGTGATTGTGGATTTAATTATTGTTTCATTACTTTTTGTAGCAGGATCTCTAATTCATTTTAAAATTGATAATTTTTTAATATTCTTGTTTGTTTACATTTTATGTTATACCTCTATAAAGTATATACTTTACCCTTAGAAACCGTCGCCTGTCTATCCATCGATATATAACACCATCTCTTGGGTTGAAAAGATATCTTAGTACGTACATGATATGTTTACCATTTATAAAATATCTGTATATATTTATCGGAATATCAAAAGCGGATACCCACAGACCAGTCAAGTAAGCTGTAGAAATTTTGTAGCGATAGACCGAACCGTCTAGGTGCTAGACCCACTGACGTGATCAGGTAGGTAGTAAACAAAAAAATTGCTGTTTTAGAAATTTTTCAATTGTTATACCGGAAATGTTAGCGACCTTTTTAGCATATTATCACTATATATGCGCATAATATATTGTAACAGATACTTTGAATGGTCGGTTTTTCGCTTAGAAATCCAATAGGATGGTTTTTCGGCGCGTGAATTATTTGGAAACCTTATCGATCCCTGTTATTAAGTACTACCATATTATCTCTCTTTGTTACGTTCATCTGCTGATGAAATGTTGTTGCTTTTTTATCTTTCGTTTGTTTAACACGGCAGATGACCTAAAGGGGGCGTTATTCCTTTGTTTTTTAAACTACAATCAATGAGAATTCCCCCACGATCATCTAAATGGGAAGAGACGCATTTATCAGCAACCTTACTTGGAATCTTTGTTTCCATTATTACGGTCTTTATTCACTACTACGAAGAACCCAATAGCAAATAAAACAATTCATATTTTTGAACTATATATTTCCTGCGTAATTGCATTCAAATGAGAGATGAATATAAACCCAAACCCAAAACCTGAAGTATTCTATTTAGTATTCTTCATTACAGAAGACAGAGTCATCACAACTTACTGATACCATTATTATCAAATTTTCACTAGGATATGAAGAACGCAAGTGAACAAGAAAATGATTTACCTCCCGCTTATTCTGACGTCATCGCGGTAAGTAAAATTTACCTAATTTATTCACGCACTAGGGTGGTTTCTGTATTAACAGTATACTGAGGATACAGTAATACACGATACTTTAGCTGTAGTTTCTGTATAAACATTATGTTGAAGATACAGTAATACATGATACTTTACCTGTAGTATTTGTACAGTTTCTGTATAAAGAGTATACTGGATATACAGTAATACACGATACTTTAGCTGTAGTATCCTTATAGCTTCTATATAAACAGTATACTGAAGATACAGTAATACACGATACTTTACCTGTAGTATTTGTACAGTTTCGGTATAAACATTATACTGAAGATAC